ATCTGCTGGCTGGTCTTAGTGAGGGATTTGAGAGTATTGTAGGCCACTTTATTGTTGCTAGTAAGCATATCCTTCTCAATGGCTTTGCACTTATTTTGTATCCACTGTGACACTATTTAGCTATGGTAATTGGCTAACTAATTAAGCATGGGAATTAAAAACGAGAAATACTTAAGGCGAGAAAGAGCTATAACGAAAGAAAAATTTTTTTAACAAAAGAAAAATAGGTAAAGATTTTATTTTCATATACGAAGATAGATATTTTTTCGCAGAAGACAGAAAATTCATAAAAGAAGCGTGTTTCAGATTCTATCAGAATTAATTAATGTCATGACGTAACAAGGAAATCAAAATTCTAAAAGATAACAAAACGGTGTCAAGCATGTGACCGGGAAGGAATTTCATTGAGACCACCCAAAAAAAATAGATACTGATTATCTTTCGGAGATATCATTTGGTTTTGTTTCTTGTGTCCAGCGAGGAGACCCATCTGTTGTATGTCCGGATCTTGACATGAGTAGATAGGGTTGAGAAGAAATCATTGTTACTACGTGTTCAAACTGTTAAAGAGGATGTCGCCGAGAACGGGTATCTGAAAATGCGATAATGTTGGGACGAGAAAGACAAAGACATTTAGTTGACCACCCAGTTAAATAGTTGACTAGCGATAGTTAATGAGTCAGCAAAAATTCCGCTAATGAATTCCAGGTGACCCCAGGATCAGATAAAAATTTAATAGTCACGATGTGCAGTCCATAAGAATTCTGGCCAATAAAAAAGAAAGAAAGAAAAGGGAAGATAATTTTTTTTTCTTTGGCCGATAATTGTAAACTGAGGCCAGTCTAGCCACACCCACGCTGCTGAACGTCCATTGGCTGAGTGGTGGTGTGAGTGATGGGCGAAGGTGAACATATGAGAAAGAAGGGGAACCTGTTGATGCCCACTGAAGAGATTGGTACGAGATACCAATATGAGAAAGGAAGAGTTTTGGAGGATAATTCTCCTCAGACCTCTCCCCACAGAAGGGGGAGAACCCCTCTAAAACAGAAAGTAATTGACTTCCAAAAATGGGAAGTAATAAATTTTCCTGTCCGAAGACAAAGAGAATCCTTATTGGGGATTTGGAATTATCGAAGAACCCAAACCACGACAGGCCCCGACCCAGTTTTGGTTGGCGTCCATATAAACGAACGTCCCCGGGTGTTCAGAGAGTAGAGATGGGTTGGAGATCGAAGACAGATCAACAAAGAGCTGTTGAGCTCGGAGACCATCCTCGCAGGAGCTGACCGAAAGATTTCCACGCATTCCGACTTAGACTTCAAACCAAAAGCAATTTTTTTTTTTTGAAGAACGACTTAGACTTACACCACCAAAGCAAGTTTTGATGAATATCGCCTGAAGATACCAAAAAGCAGTTTATTGAAAAACAACTTAAGATATCAAGACTCGCTTAAGAAACGCAAAGTGTCATGAATTCATGGAAGCGGGTTGGGAGAAAGATGCACTCCTGTATTCAGCAGACAGATATAAAGATACTTGTTATTTTTTCATCACATTTGAACCTCTTGAGTTTATTTCATTATTTTTCTTTTGTATACGCTTGTGCGGTGTCACCTTTGCCCTGGATTCGGCTTGCATTACGGCCTGACGCCTGATTGATTTCGTCTACCTAAGATCAAATCACAACGTGGGTAGGTTAGACTAAAGATCAAAGCAGTTACTTCGGTAAACAGACATTGGAGGCAAGCTGGGAACGGCAAATCTGATATCGAATCTAACCAGACATTGACCGCAACCAAGACAACCAGAGGGGTTAGTGTCACACATGGTTCCATGGTAAACCAGATTTTCATCCGAACCAGCCCAGGGTTAGAGTGGGTCACAATTTGGGGCCGTGACCGGGACTGACCGGTGACATCATACCACTCCTCTTTAGCTGCTTGCATTTTCTCCTCATGTCACTGTGCACTTCCTGATATTGGGCATAGACCTTGTCACTTGTGCTTCTTTCTCCTCAGGTAGGAGACCTGAGGAGAAAGAAGCACAAATCTAAGATTTCGTTTGTGACCTACGGTTAGATTTTCCTTTGCTGTTTAACCGAAGCTTCCTCAGCTGTTGTGAGTGACACTTCTTTAATGTGATCTGCAAAAGTGTCTACATCACTGTTAATTAGCGTCAGGGCTGCAAACTTTGGTCTGGAACAGTTAAGTGACCAGGGTTTTTCAGTTTCTCAAGGTTTTAAAGTGGATGCAGGAGTCCTTTGAACAGTGCTTAGTTTTCAGCCTTAATTTAAAAGTCATCATCACAAGATCACGATTACTGCCAATGTCTGCGTCAGGAAATGTCCTTGTGTTTGCCTTGTTAATGATGGATTTATAGCATTGTGAAACCAAAATAAAATTGATCTGGTTATGGATCTTCCCATTAGGTGAGTGCCAGGTTGTGGTTAGAGACAGCTTATGGGGGTGTAGAGTGTCGTTCAGGGTGAAATGAGGACTTCTAACAAATTTGAGTAGTCCGAGACCTGTCATTTGTTTCCCCAATGCCAAATCTTCTGACCGTTTCTGCCCAGTTTGTGTACACATAAAGTCCTATGTTGACATTCCAACCCCCTTGTATGATGGTGATGTCTTTCCAGGAGACTTAGAATTCTAATAATTCGTAGAATTTTTCAACTTCCTTGTCATCATGATCTAATGTTGGAGTATAGGCCTGGATGATGGTAATGTTGTATTGTCTGTCTGATACACGGATGGAAATAAGTCTGCTGGAAATAGGGTTAAAACTGATGACGCTGTGGGTAATTACTTTCCTTACAATAAATGCCACTCCATGTTGATGCTGCTTCTCATCTCCAGAAAACCAAATTTTATTTCCATCTTGTGTAGGTGTTTTGCCAAAACCAATTCATCCGATTTCTGACATCCCAATGATGTCCCAGCAATAGCATTTCAGTTCATGGGTAAGTTCTTGGTTTCTTCCAGGGGTGTATAGGGTGCGGATGTTCAAGGTTACTGTTGTAAATTTTTTTATTGATAACCTGATACCATGTTTCACAGTAGCAGACATGCCCATCTTGAAGCAAATCAATGGAATGTGCGGTCGTTGTTAATCCAGGCCATGACCGATCCGGCATAGTTATATTTCGCTTCTCTTGCTTCATAATCCTTTCAGTGGGCTTGTAGATAACTTGGCAGTGTCCATCTCCTCTCCAAGACCTTTGCTGACAGCCAAAACGACTAATATGATGTGAATCACCTTCAGTTTGTGTAGTTGGTTGTCAAGTCTGTTGTCCAGCTATTGTCTGCTTCTGCAGACCATCTGTCCAGTAGTGCAGTGCAAACACTATGCCTTCACGTGGTTTAGCCCACCTACTGAAGTGGTTTACTTCTAAGATAGTAAACAACCAAATTAGGATTGACTAAGTTATGGTGCTGCAGCCACCAATTTACATAGATTTCATAATGTTCTTAGTGAGTATTCCTTTAAGTTTTCAATGAATTTGCTTTTTTTAATGCTTAGTACTAGTGTTCATAATATTTAATGAAGTAATGGCCTACATGGGTTAAATTTGGGCTGGTTGTATAAGTGTTGCATCAGCCACATATTGATTTCACTGACTGGTCAAAGTTTGAATTAAATCTTTCCAAAGTGCAGGGTTCAAACAAACCAATGATTAAAAGATTATTAAATGAATGTTTATTTTCAAAGCATTGAACAAAATCTGCATGTTTTAGAAATATTTAAATGAATATTAAAGGGGCACAATTTGAGAAAAGTTCTATCAAAGTTGGTCAGTAATTTTCAATATATTTTTTGAGATTCACATTCTTCTGAATTTTCTTGTCACTGAATGCCTTAGGGAACATTTTCCAAATTTAAATCAAATCTATGCATTAGGTTAAAAGTTACATCATTTTTTTTTTTTTTTACTGTAAATAATTTATACCTGTATAGTTAAATGTTTGGTAAAAACTATTTTCTTCAGTGTACCATAAATAAATAATTTCCTTCTGTAGCATGTACTGTAATACTTTCTGTATAATTCCTATTGATAATATTACTGTATACTGTAAATAAAGCAACTGGAATTAAAAATTAGTTTGGTATTTCACCTTGTGCAATCATCATTTACCATATATTGCAGTGCATCCTGTAAAAATATTTTAAGAATATGTAATGGAGAATTATAAGATAAAATAATACCAGTAAATGGCAAGAATAAAATAGAGGGAGACATAAGGAACACAACTGAAACATATGGTATCAGACAAAAGTGGTTCCCGCTGGAAAAGCAATACCTCAACGATAGAAACAAATTTGAAAAAAGATGAATGCAAATTGGAGAAAGAAAAAATTTTTCATTTATACAAGATATATGTAGATTTTAAGCTATACAAATAATAAATGATATTCTGCTCTTCATATAGCAACAGAAAGAAATAATCTAGGCTATTTGAGGCAGGCTAAAGCAGCTGACCTGTACCATTAGCTAAAGTGACAATGCAGGCCTACCAGGTAGGCTGGTCACTGAAAATGCATTAACTTTAACCCCCTTCCCACAAAAATTTACCTGTGTATAATGCAACTGGTCACTGAAAATGCATGATTTTTAAGCTTACCAAAAAGATTACCTGTGTATAACTATTTTTTTTTTCATTAATAAAATGATCATAATTTGCACTATACTCAAGTATATGTGGTAATCTGTATATTCTTTTGTGATGACCATATGTGTTTAAATATGGTTTACTGTACCAATGTTATTTCTCTAAAACTATTCAAGATAAAAAGTTTTATTATCTATTCTGCTTAGAACATAATATTTTATGGTTTATTTTATTTAAATTTTAGCTCCCGCTATCTAACATTAATCACACAGAAAAAATATTATAAAGGGAAATATTTCAGATCAAAATTTACCTAATAATTATGCATTCAGTATGTCAAATTCTAAATTGACATCTAACAATTGTGAATCAAAATAATTGTGTACTTACTTTGAACCTTTTATCCTGTAAAACTTTCTTGATAGCTACCAGTTCACCCGTATCAATTAGCTTGGCCTGATAAACCACTCCAAAGGAGCCATTTCCAATGACTTTTGTATCAGCATAACCAATCTCTTGGGGCCGGTCTGGACCCTGGCCAGGAGTTGCTAATACTGTGGTCACTTTACTGCCATCTTTGTCTTTGAAAAAAAATAAAAGAAAAAAATAAATATATTTATATATGTAAAGAAAAATATTCAGGAAGAACTTTCGATGGTTTCTCTCTCTCTCTCTCTATATATATATATATATATATATATATATATATATATTGTATTTAGGTAGCAATCCTTTCATGCAAGTTTTCATTGAATATGGATATTTATTCTGCAATAACAGAAATGTGGCACAAGGCCGAAATAGGGGAATGGGGAGAGGACGGTCTTCTTCTGTCTTAGTTTTAACTTAGCTAGCCGCAGACACTGACCCAATCGTACGAATAATATTCCTTACACCAAAACAACGCATTTGTACGTACCTTTCAAACTACAAACACCATAATACCTCATCGTCTATGAAAAATCTAACTAAACCCCATATATACAATACAATGTCTGTGAGGGGAGGGAAATATAACAATAATTCTAAAAATTAACCCCAATGTTTATTTACAATATGAGCACAATCTATTTACATGAAACTAAGGAAAATATTAGTAATAAAACCCCCCACAATCACCTACTGTGGCAGAAATACCATTTCTCTGGCCGAAATCAATGCGGGACTCTAATAGAATAATTCATTCATTCATCTCAATGTGACTCACACTAACACGCACTCATTCAAACACAACAACAAATACGAAAACACTCACGCTGAAACGAAAGGCATGCCCCAGATCCACCGGAGAACTGACATCACTGACCACCTAAAGAGGGAGGGATGGGAAGTTAAACTTAAAAAAAAAAAATAGGGACAAAAATAAAAGGGACCAATGAGCATACATACCCTAGCTAAGTTAACTAAATAAAAGAAAAGAAACTAAAACGTCAACAAACGAACCTAAACTAACCTAGTTTCTGGATGGGTTGCACTAGTTCAACCCAGGAAAAGCAATATCCTTTTGCCTAACCGCATCAAAATGCCACTCAAGGTCAGCCCCTTTCACACGACACAAACGCCGCGATGCACCCACCTTTTGCTGAATTCTGATGAAGAGAGATGCTTTTCCGTCCCTAATCTTGACTTTAAGCAGATGCTTACAGTACAAGATCAGTTCCTAGGTAAACTTCTCACCCATAGAATCCCTTCTGTCGCGTTGTCCAAATCATGACTCTCATAACTCCTAGCAAGCAGTGGAACACATTGTTCAGCCTTGTTTTCATTGAATATGGCAGACAAGGTGCTTTGATTAAGTTTTTTTTTTTTTTTAATACAATTTCTCATGTGATCTTTTAAGTTTTTTCTTTTCAGTAGATAAATTATATAAAAACTGCCTAATTGTTTTTTCTGGGTGTTTTTGGCTATACATTTAACCATTTTCAAGATTGAAATATACTAACTGTTAACAAGAAATAGATTGTTGTAGCTATGTATTTATATAATGTTTCATTTTCAAAACAGAGTCAAGAGTATCCATGTTCATAGTTGATATTTTTATCAATAAGGCTTCCAAGTATGTTACAAATAGTGTCCAGTAGGTCTCCATGAGTATTTAAATGAGACCTAATTGAGCTATGGTCAGAAAGATGTAGTGTGAGTCTTCTTGTCAAACATGTAGTGTGGCTTACATAATTATTTACGAATTTTGATTGATAAGGAACACAATTCCTTAATGGACATTTAAATTCATAACTAATATTTGTACTATTTAATTTTGTTCTAAGAGGTGAATTGTTATTTTTAACTATAAGGTTGGCAGTTGTAAATTTTTTGTAATAAATAATTAGTTTAATTTTTGCTATTGTCTACTGGTGTTGTGAATTTTTTTATAGTGTTCTTAATTCTAGTATCATCTTATTTGTAATTTTTGTTCATCTGATTTTTATACGAAATATTAATGTTTATGTTTTTATTCTCATTGTTGCTATTAGTTATCTTAGACAGAAAAAAGCCTAATTATGGAAATCAAACTGATTAGGAAATCTGTTATAAGCTTTTGTTTTATGTTATTTATTTCTTTAAAGAAAAAAGTGTGTGAGAGGATGAATTCTCGTGCACTCAAGGAAATTTTTAATAACATTTATTTTACATGTAAGAGGGCATTCACTAGAGAAATTAAGGTAGCAAGAATCTTTATTAGTTGGCTTTTTATAATATTTTTTAGTAAATGTCTTATTACTAAAAATCAACGAGAACATCTAATAAAAGGAGGTTATTTTTTTTTCTAAGTTTATATGTAAAATTTAGAATGGAATTTTGTTGAAATGTAATTTTCAGATTTTATATAATCTACTGAAAAGAAAAAATAAGATCAAATGAGAAATTGTATATATAAAGAAAAAAAAACTTAAAGCACCTTATTTGTCATATGCAATGAAATTTGTGTGTGTATGTGTGTGTATATATATATATATATATATATGAAAATCATTGTTCCTGAATGCTTCTTATATGTAAAGACAATAGGTCAATGAAAGAAATACAAAAAAAAAAAACAAATGTAATAATACTGATAATAAGACTAATAATATTTATTGTATATTAGTAAAGCTTTTGACCAAGTGGAAGATTGATGAGAAAGATGTTAAAAATAAAAATTTTTGAACACACCTGTGTCCTTTCTCAACCAGACATAAGAAAAAAAAAAAAAAAAGTGGGAGATTCTTTTTTTTTCCAGGGTAATTTGTTTTGCTTTTCATGTGTGTGTTATATGCCTCTACAACCCTCATCGTGGCAAACAACTTGTCCAAAACTATTAAATCTCTTCAGTAATGTAATATAACATTTAGGATGAAATGAATGATTGGTCAATCTTTCAAACAAATACTTATTACAAACCTTTAAGTTCATTTATCTTCAATAGTGAAATTAATAAAAAATACACTTATTGGAACAGATGAAAAAGACTTTGTGGACAGTTGGAATGGTCCTTTTGCATTTCCTCTTCTAATGGTGATTTGCAGCCTGAATTTGTATATAGCACATATTCCAGAAACATCCCATACCATATCATATCATCTCTTGAATGTGGTATTATACCAAAGTCCCATCTTAGGACAATAGCATTCAACAAGGCCATCAAAAATAAACAATTTCTGCCTTTGGTTAAAAAAAAACGTACTGGACAGAGATAATATCAATGACTTGGTCAATGTAAAAGTTTGTGTAATAGTATACTGCAACCAACTGACTGTGGTGCTCATAACCAATAATCTTCTATAATACTGCTAAGATAATGGCTTAAAGAAAAACTAAAAAATGCTTGTCAAAATTGCATATCTAAAATGTATCCATATTTTTTTTTTTTTTAAATGTAAAAATTTCATTTTAACCTCTGAAATAGGATCTAATCTCTATAATTAGTAAACAAATCTTTAAAAGAAAAAAGGAAACTGATTACATTTTGAAAATTGCCTAATTACATTACAAATTTTTATGGATCTATGTGCCAAAGGTAAGCTTATCCAGTTCATTTATTTTTTTTTATAAAATGTATCCAGTTTCATTTTTTAAAAGAAAATGTAAATAAATTTTCAATTTAATCAACAAATCCCAAAAATTAGAGAAAATATTGCCAGTCATGAATGTAAACGAAATGAAATGAATGACCATTAAAAAGGAAAACTGGACATTTATAAAAAAAAATTTCTATTTTAATTTTTAGACAAATGCGAGTGTGAAATTTATAGAACTAAGAATAGAAAATGCATAAAAACAACAGATAAAGTGAAAGTGATTCAAGTGTAACAGTTTGTACAAATTACAATATGTACTTTATACAGTTTTAAAATGCGTCAAAGAAAATATAAGAAAGATTTAAAATGAAATATCCATCAATGAAACAAGTCCGATTTAAAATGTCAATGTTCATTCACTAGGTCTGCAATACAAATTTTGATGCAACAGAAATGAATGTAGCATGTATATTGTTTTTGATTTGCATGTACTTTCAGTTGTGTGTGTGCAGAGATATGAAAACTGCTAAATATTTAAAGATCATCACACAAGAAAGAATTGTATCTAGAAAAGTTTAAATTCATACTAATTTTATCAAAATTGCCTTAAAAAAAAAAAAAAAAAAAAAAAAAAGATTTTTGCACAATATTTTAGGCATCAGATGATCCCTTTCTTCACACTGTATGGCTGGTGGGAACTGAAGTTGATGTACTGTCCAGTGAAGGTTGCCTTGTGATATACAGATGCGTCCGTGTAAGTTATTAGTACATCCAGCTGATTATTTTCTACTTCTTCCATTGTGAACTACATTGAAAGTCTCATGGAGTTCAAATGGCCCTGCAGTATTTGTACAGCTTCTTGGTGAGAGGTATCATTTACATATCTCAGTCATACTGTTCGCTTTAGTGTTCCATTTCTAAAGCAATTTCCTTGAAGTATTCCAGGTATATTTTTGTTATCACTGGTGACAATGGTGAGCCCATAGCCAAGCTTTCCTCCTGTTGGTATATGCCAGACAAGTTGGAAGAACATTTTCTGTACACAGATCAACAATTCTAATCGGTTTTGAACAACTGTCAGGGCCTCATCTGTAGGAATTCACATTCAACTTTATTACACAATTGCTATATATGGAAGCCTCTTAGATCAATTTCACAAAGTGTTCACATGGCAAAGAATTCCTTGTTAGTGGGTTGATTATATCCACTAAGAATCTTCTCGACAGGTGACATATTGCAGCTAATTATAGATCTCAATGGAATACAAACTTTGTGAATGCTGGCGAGATCATGCTACAGCTTGGTGCTACATCATGTCAGCTGTTTATACTTCTTCAGTGTGACTTAGTTCTTGTTTAGGATCTGTGACAGCTTCCTTTCAGTTTTTAGGGCTAGATGACTTTTTACCTTTTTTATACCTACCATGTGACTTGCCAATTTTTCAGATTATTCCAACTTGTCCATAACTGCAGAAGTCTAGCCTTTGTTTGCTGGCTATATGAGAAGAGTCAGTCTGTAAAGTCAACCTTTCTTTCCTTGTGATGTTTGATTTAGGCAGCTTGACATTTTCTAGTGCTTGTCAC